TTTTTATTTTTATTTTTTATCCGTACAGTAACTTCAAAGAGCAATTTAAGTATTTTGGTCAAAGGAAATCAACTTTGTTTACGTAAGTAAAGTTGTTTAAAGAGTTCAAAAATATGTGCATATAAAATTTATTATAATTGGATTAATTGTTATAAAGTTATAAATGTTTTTTGTAATTATATTAGCAGTCACCAGATTTGCAGATTTATTGCAACTTGTAATTTTAAATTCTGCAGTTAAAATAATTATATTATTATCCTTTTTTTTTTGAAAAATAATCAAATGTAAAAATGTATTAATATTTTTTTATATTTTTTTAAACAAAATTAATAATTGTTTAGTTTCCTTTTTTAAACAGGTCAGGTCAGGATAAGTCAAATGTATATTTAATTCAGATCTATTTTATGTCTAACCTGACCTGATCTTATCAGATTGGGTCAAATCAATTACCCAATCTGACCTGACCTGTTCAGGGCTCTACATACTATACTAGAGGATTTGAGGGATCAATTTCATAATGACTGATTTGAAGAGATCTCACTTCTGTAGGTAAAGATGAGAACTGTAATTAATATGTTACAACATTTTGTAAATTTGAAATCAATTGCTGTACCATCTTTATCTGTAGGTTTCATACTCAACATCACTATCACATTTGCGAGATTCTCTTAAGTAAGAATTTTAGAAATATCCATATTCTGAATCCTTTTATGCACATTTGCTAAGGAGAAATATAGTGGAATTTTTGATTGATTATTAGCTAAATTTTGCTAAGTCTGTTCTTTCTGAATTTTGTTAGAAGCTGTAGTGACATCTAGATCTTTGGCATAAGTATCAATAAGTTCTTGAGCAATACCAGCTTTTAACAATTCAATATGAAATAGTGAAAGCTGTGAACAGGAGGCAACGTTTCTTTATTGTTATTACTTTTTGAACCTAAATCAAGAGCATTGATATAAATATCGCACTTATCACCAGTTTTGGTGTAATAGAAAGCTCTTTCTCCAATAGTGAGCTTTTCCTTTCTTTTGTCTGACATAAGAACCCCTATCTGTTCTTTGCTAAATGTGTGTCTTTTATCAATGTATCTGGCAAGAAGATCTTTAATACACTTGTGAACCTTCTAATCATACAATTAAATATTAAGTTCTGGAGCATGTTCTCTTAATTATTTTAACGTGTAATCAGCTGAAAAATTATACTTTTCTAGGAACTATTCTAAAATCGAAACAAAGTTATTAGTTTTGGGCTTTCGGGCCTTTGGAGCGGTTACTTTAATAGACATGCCAATGGTAAGTAGATTGCGATTATTACCTAGTTATACTAATCTACTTATTTTTCAATTCGAAAAAATTCTTTAATCAGAGTTTTCAGAATATGCTTTAACTTTCTTCTGGTGATTAGTGAAGAGAAAAGGAATTCTAGTCTTGCGTAACTTTGGCCAAAACGCTAAAGCAAAGGAATTTGAATATTTATAATAAAGTAAAAATGAAGTTTTAAGATTATTAATATTAAAATTACCTTGTATAGTTTATATATTTTATCAAAGATGGTTCAATTTGTGCGAAAAAATGCTGGCATATCTCAGAATATGCCAGACATTATAAAGCTCATCCTAGAATAATATGCCCTATTTATAAGAAGGAAACCTATTTTGATACTGGAATCTGTAATACATATAGTGGAATTTATGATCATGCCTGATGCAAAAATAAAAAAACTAAAACAGAATTGATCCCTTTGGGATCATTTAATATGATCAAAACTTAGCTAAATGCTAAATAATAGGCTGAAGTATTATTTTTCTGCTCTATAGGATCAAAAAGTTTCTGAATCTTATTATCTGTTTTTGGCTTATATGGTGAAAGCTCTGGCGCATCTTTATCTCCAAAACTAAGACCTTTATATGATCAGTGATTAATTCGATATGAATAGTTCTAAACTTGCTTTCTTTAGGTCCTATTTTTTTCTGATTGCTTTTAACTGTATAGCTATACCAATTACCAGCAATTGTATTATTGTTTTTATGGCTAATATAAGATTGGGCTTTTCTTTTGCACAAGACTTAAAACCAAAGAGTAATAAAGACTGACTTCAGATTTCTATAAATCTTTTATATGATTAAGCGAATGCTTCTGAAATAATATTACCTGAAAGAATACATATATCATCAATGTCAATAAAGCCTAGTATTTAAAAAATTCCGTTATAGCTTCCCAGTGATTTGCCGAATAAGATTTATGCAAGTCCTCTGTCACCAATTTTTCCAGATTCTCTTTAGCTTTATAGCAGGCAATTTCCCATTGTGTAGTATCCTTGGGTTTTAATCCTTCCATTGCATTCTCTTTATCATAGCCATGCTTTTGAAATTAAGATAAACGTAAGAAATGTTTTTGAGGTTCAAGCAGGCTAAAACATTCCACAAATTTTTTATTGCAAAGATTATTTCAATCATTGATATTTATGACTTTACCACCATAAAGATTTCGCAAATAGAAATGTTTAAATGTCATAGTATCTGCTAGAGTTCTGCAATTCGATTTGATATTTGAATATTTAATTCAATCAAATTCAAATCAAAGAATGATTTATTTGATCAAATCCAAATTAATGTTTAATTTAATTCGATTAAATTCAAATCAAGTATTCAAATATTTAATTTGATTTGAATCAATAGTAAAGCTATTTTTAAAGCTTCAGGAGTGGCTCTTACTAAGAAAACTATAGCAAAAAACGCTACTGCAGCTTTGGAAATGCCTTTTTTACTAAGAAAACTATAGTAAAAAATGCCTTCACACAGTGTTTATTTTTCAAAAATAAATTACTGTGTAGATAGCGCATAATTTCTAAAATTATATTGTGTGGCAAATTGATGAATTGTGTACTGCTATGCTGCTAAAAAAATATACACCCAAATTTGTAAATTTGTTGTGTGGCAATCCAAAATTTAAAAATTATCACAACTATATCGATCACAAGTTTGATTACATTTAGCATGATGAAAAAATTTATATCAATTTATTTAGAGAATAAAGAACCAAAAAAAGCAAAATTTTAACTATTTCGATGTACTTTTTTTGTTACCCAATAATTATATGCCATATTCCAATCAAACTTACAAAAATCATCTGGCCCATTAAGCAAAATTATTAAATATTGATTTAATGTTTCAATATTTATCCTATTTCTCAAATGGGTTTTGGTAAGTTTGTGTTGAGAAAATATTCTCTCAATTTGTACATTAGATAAAGGAATAATTAAAGATATTCTAACTAATTTAACAACATTTGAAAATTGATTTAAAAAATCAGGATACATATAAAATATATATTTCCAACCATTTACTAAATTTCAATCTCTAATTTGTTTTATATAATATTTTGCCATTCCCCATTCTTGTTTTAATTCATCTCCATTAATTATTTTTTTTACAATATTTCCTGTCCTATCTATCTTATTTACTCCATAAAAAGCAATAAGTTTTTTCAATATCTTCATTACCATAATTTCCTAATTCACCTTCTCTTGTAGGTAATAGCTTTGGATCAAATATACGAAAGGAATAATATAAATTGGATTGTGAAAATCTAAGATTTAAGACTTTCAATAATTGCTTCAGGAAAATTTATAATAAATAGTGGTAAATTATTTGGTAAAATATTATAATCTTGCATATATTTATGCAAGTGAGTACCACATGAAGGAACAGAACTATTAACTCTAATAAATTGTGCTGTTATTGCATCATATGTTGCATCTAAATGAATTTTGATATCTGAAAAACTAGCATATTCTTTTTGAAATATGTTAATGCTTTGTTAATATAAACATTAAATCAGCAAAAAATTTTGTAGAAGTAACAAACTCATAATCCAAATCGTCAAGTAAATTTTTAGCTAAATCCTGATTGGATGGTTTTTCACCAAATTCAGCATCATAACGCAATGCATCAATCACTGAATCTAGAATTTGATGTAGATTTTTTACACAATTGGACATTGATAACCATCTTGTATTAACTATATTAAGAATATTTAATTGAGGATCTTCTAACACGTCTTGTATCATTTTTAAATTTTGCATTCGCCGATAAGAATTTGTAAAATAATAATATAATTTTTTGACACTATTTTCATATTGATTAAAATATGGAACACATTTTGCTGCATCTTTTTCAGCTAAATATAATCTATGCGCAATACAATGTACAGATGTAATAAAATCTTATAATTGTTTAGCAATACCTCTTTTTATTCCAATCAATGTATCAGCTTCATCACTACCAAAGTGTAATAAACTTTAATTTCTAATCCTTTAGCAAGAATAAACTTTTTTAAATCTGAAGTAATTGAATCAGCATTAAGTTCTTCTAAATTGATCATCCCTATATATCATGTAACTGGTACATTATGAGAAATATGTCATGATACTATAGCTAAATGCTTTTTATCTGTAATAGAATTAGTTTCATTAATCATAACACTCCAACTATTTGAATCTCTTATTTCTTTATGTAATATTTTTTCAATTACATAAACAATTGCTTCTTCAAATTCTTTAGCAGATGTATTTGATAAATGTGATCCATTCTGTTATCAAATTTTTTGAAGCAAGTGATGGTAATTATAATGCTTTGGATGTATCACAAAGCTTCATAACTTCAGAATTTTTTTTGTGAAAATCTATTAATTGATATAAATCAAGATATATAGAAAGTGCTAAATATTTTTTTGCTGCAAAGTATATACACTGCATCTGTGGTACTATTTTAATTTTATCAGCATCTAATTGACGTGAAAATCCAATTAACAAATTACTTTAATAAGATTTTCTTGCTTCAGCTTCAGCTTTATGCTCATGATGAGTAAGATGTTGATCAATACTTTGTTTTCTATAATTAATAGTTCCTTTTGCAAGTTCATTTGTATATTTTTTTGCTTCACACCACTTATAAAATATCTGTATTATTCCATTTATATCTCTGTATTCTAACTAAGCATTATTACCATTATTCATCCATTTTGGATCAGGGTTATTTCTATATTTATAACGTTTTACTTCATGTTTTTTGCTTGAAGATGATTCTTTAGGAGTTTCAGGTGGTGTTAGTGATTTTGTTTACCTTTTTCAGTTGTTAAAAAATATCTTTGCATTGTAAAAAAAAAAATTTTAAAAAGTAAGATTCTTAAAGTTAATTTATTTAATTAGTTTATAATAGTTTTGTGAAACCACTTAACATTAATATTATTACTAATATAGGTAAGTGTGACATAATAATCTAATCTATTATTCTAAATTAAGGTTTGTAACAAATGTTTGCATTATACTGTTTGCACTGTGTGGCAACTGTTTGCACTATTTACACCTGTTTGCACTATAAAAAAATTATGCAGATAGACACACATCTTTCCAAAAATAGTATGCGCAAATTATAAAATTCTGGGTAATATGTACAGGCTACACAATATAGAATAATCACTGCCTTCACAGCTTTGAAGATGTTATTTTACTAAGAAAACAGTAAAAAACGTCTTTGCTTCTTTAGAGATGCTATTTTACTAAGAAAATATAGTAAAAAACACCTCCGCAACTTCAGAAACGTTTTTTTATTAATAAAATTGTTACGAAGCTGAAATGATAGTTATTACTAAGTTTCTTAGTAAAATCAAAGCCGAGATAGTGGTTATTACTAAATTTTCTTAGTAAAACTGAAGTTGCGATAGTAGTTATTACTAAGTTTTCTTAGTAAAACTGAAGCTGCAATGGTAGTTATTACTAAGTTTTCTTAGTAAACTAAAACTGCGATAATGGTTATTACTAAGTTTCTTAGTAAAACTGAAACTGCTGAGTTATTTTATTAAGTTTAATAGTAAAAATTCACCTGTTATTAAACTTACTTTATAAAAGCTATCTTTGAAATTTTTTAGTGCAATT